GAGAGGACTCTTTAAAGTAGAGACACTACATACTGATATACAGCTGAACATCAGCAGGAGAGGACTCTTTAAAGTAGAGACACTACATACTGATATACACCTGAACATCAGACAGCTGAACATCAGCAGGAGAGGACTCTTTAAAATAGAGACACTACATACTGATATACACCTGAACATCAGCAGGAGAGGACTCTTTAAAGTAGAGACACTACATACTGATATACACCTGAACATCAGCAGGAGAGGACTCTTTAAAGTAGAGACACTACATACTGATATACACCTGAACATCAGCAGGAGAGGACTCTTTAAAGTAGAGACACTACATACTGATATACACCTGAACATCAGCAGGAGAGGACTCTTTAAAGTAGAGACACTACATACTGATATACCCCTGAACATCAGCAGGAGAGGACTCTTTAAAGTAGAGACACTACATACTGATATACACCTGAACATCAGCAGGAGAGGACTCTTTAAAGTACAGACACTACATACTGATACACCTGAACATCAGCAGGAGAGGACTCTTTAAAGTAGAGACACTACATACTGATATACACCTGAACATCAGCAGGAGAGGACTCTTTAAAGTAGAGACACTACATACTGATATACACCTGAACATCAGCAGGAGAGGACTCTTTAAAGTAGAGACACTACATACAGTACTGATATACACCTGAACATCAGCAGCATATGTCTTAAAGTAAAGGATCTGAGTACGTTTTCTATAGAACCCAACAGGGGAGTTGTGCGTAACTATGCAGAGGAGGTTGAAGTATCTGCCTACGTGCTCTTATTAAACGCACAGTATAATGTATGCTCACCTCGGGTCAGCTTCAGTAAAACACCGTGTCTGTTATTTAAGAGAAACATCTCTGCACATGTTCTGATTTTTAACAAGTGTTTCTCCTCCTTCTCCTTTGCATCTCGCTGCCTTTACAGGTTTTGCCCTGCAGCGTCTATTCAAGTGCACACTTTCTGATTAATCTTCTTTGACAAGTGTTGAAGAAAAGGAAGTGAAAATAAGTTTATTTTTCATGTCTGTTTTTCCGGGGAGACCTTCGTGCAGCCATGTGTATCTGTCTTTTCATCAGGTGTGATGCTTTTCATACCAGGCATTACCCCCACATCACTTTGATCACTCTCCAAGTTTATCACAGAGATAAGGCTGCTGCTACTTTCTTAGTCATTGTTTCAAACCCTATGAACCGCGCCTGGTACAAAAAGGACTTCTCCAATGTCGAGTTTCTTTCAAATTGTAGTCCTTTATTCAGAGGGTTTCAAGGATATTTGTGTTTTCTTCCACACTTCTAAAACAACCACATTGCATTTCCTGTGCTCAGATTTGGAAAAAGAGAATATGCAATAAACTCTAAATTATTTGGTCGCCTATAATATTTTGTAGGCGTCCTTCAAAGGAAGCTTGTTTGACTTTGAGATTTGACACAATGTTTAAAATTAGTGAGGAAATTATTTTTATTTTTCGTTTTATACAAATATTTCAACATAATACATTTAAACTAATGAATAAAAAAAAACAAAATAAAAAAATTAATAAATAACAATAATAATAATAATAAGTAATGAATTTAAAAAATATGAAAAAATACCTAATAAAGATAAAATAGGGGTGAATAAATTATAATTGTTCATAAAAAAATATAAATAGATTTAAGAATATTAAAAGTAAATTAAATTACAAGAAAGCGTTTGTTCTCATTACATTTTCCTAAAACAATGTCGATTTTATACAATTTTTAGTACTTATTTTAATGCTAATAATTTCAATATATTCTACATTTAGTTACTCTTATTACTGTAAATGTATTCCTGTAAAATTTACCTTTTTATAATCAACAAGTATACCATAGAATCAATGTTAATTTATCATGGTGAAAATGTTTTAATTAACCATAAAAAAAAAAAATCATATTTTGATTGTTTTTACATATATAATTGCCCCATATCCAAAATAGTAATAGGTCATAAATTAACGTATGTTTTAGAGTTAATACGGTGTTTTTTTCTGTAGATAAAACCTGAAATAAATGACTAAACGCATCAAGATAAAAAAACTACTAGCTGCTAGCAGGGATTATAACCTTCCTTTAAAGCAGGCATCCAGGTGGCCTACACACAGGATAATGTTCCCATTATACAGAGTGCGTGGTGTAAATGAATAGACATCTTGTTCTCTATGCCTGTGTTAGTCAGAGGATGAAGGAGGAGGAGCGATATTATCAACGGCACGCTGTAATGAAATCAATGAAAGTGTCATATTGTGCAGGAGGAAGTGATTTGTGTCGGAGCGAGGCGATACGGCCGCTTGTTTGCACAATGGCGGAGGATTTGTGGGTGTATTGAAATGACATTTGAGCGTAGGGTGTTGGGGGAACACAGAGCGGGCGATAGTTCACCGCTGACACATTGTTACTCTGGCATGGATTACACTGCCTCTACATTCATGGTTATTGCTGCTATTTTCTCTGACTTATGGCTCATCTCTCCTCCTCTTCCTCCTCCTCTTCCTCCTCCTCCTCTGCAGGCCCAAAGCAGGAGATGATCTACGACTTCTGGCGGATGGTTTGGCAGGAGAACTGCTTCAGTATTGTCATGATCACCAAGCTGGTGGAGGTGGGCCGGGTGAGGCTTCCCTCCCTTTTTGTCCTGTGACCTCTGAAGCCTCCTGTGGAGATAGATCCAATTCGTTTTTTATTTTTTTATTTAACCTTTATTTAACCAGATAAAAGCATTGAGATACAATCTCATTTACAATGCTGACCTGGCCAAAAGGCAGCACCGTTACACATAACACAAACGTATAAAATACAGAGAACATAACTAAGAAAACAAAAGACAAAAAAGCA